GGTTCACCCTTAAAGCTAGCTGCTGTTTTTTCTGCTTGAATGATTCGGTGTTAAGTGGCTTAACAAACCAAAAGGTACAAAGTCTAGAGTGGAAAGAAGTGAAAAGCAGCCAGTGCACAAAGAGGCTCGGAAAGACTTTCAGAAAGCAGAAAATCTAAATGTAGCAACAGGAAGTGTGGTTCAAAACATTTTCAGAGTACTTCATTACAAAAATTCACATTAGAGTGGCAGCGTGTAATTGTTGTTATTGACAGACATGATTTGCTGCACATACTAAAGGCCTTTATGCGGGACATTATATCACATATACACAGCCATTAGCTCACTCAAACATCGGTTTGTATTTGCATCCATCCATTTTCTGCTGCTTCTGGGTCGCATCAATCTGGGACCTCACGAGTTTCATTATATTCAGCAGTCGTATAATTATTTTGAGCAACTCTGTCTGTGCACACACAGGTCAGGCAGTGCCACAAGGTTCTCACGTGAGGCTGAATCTGCAGACAGGTGAGAGGGAGGTCAGACTGGGAGAAGAGCAGCTGAAATACTGGACAGAGGAGCACAGGTGGGGGTCCAGGCTAAAACTTCAGTCTGCAGACAGTAGTTTATTTCGCTCCCTTTAATACTTCTTCCAGCAAAGTGCACCCAGTAGGGGGCAGTAGTAGGAAAAGATAAAATGGCTTTGCAGTAAAAGTGTACATTTGCAGGGAGGAAGAAGCGCTCCGGTCTTCCTTTAATCCCGATGAGCTGAAACGAGCCATGAAGAAGATAAAAGAGGACTGGAAGCTTGCAAGCAAGGACACAGAGCAGAAGGTAGCAGCTCAAATGCCACTGTTGAACTTCTGATTACACGCTGGCAGCAGAAGCTTTAAGTGTGCCCACATATGAGCCTTTACTGTGTGTCTCCACTGCTCGCTGGGCGCTTCTAGGACTCTGTGGCTTCTAAGTTTCGCACAATGGAGGAGTTGAAGAAAGACATGGCTCAGCTGGACCTGCTGCTGGAGACGGATGTTCAGGTACATCAGTGTTCCTGGATCTCACGTATGATTGTGACGTGACCTTGAGTGAGCTGTTACTGTGAAACGTTTTGAGCTTCAGTCAAATGAAGTTTCTTGCATGTGTAGATAATGAGGCGTCTGCTGGAGCAGTTCAACAGCAGCAACTCAACTAGCGAACAAAGACTGAGCATCCTGACGGAGCTCGAATATCTGGTGCATCAGGTAACACACACAGGAGGATGTTTCACACTGTGGTGAATTGTCCCGTCTCTAACCCTGCTTGTATGTGTGCTAGGTGGATAATGCTCAGACTCTGTGCTCCATGGGGGGCCTCCAGTTCCTTTTAGAAGGTCTGAACAGCTCTGACTTCAGATTACAGGAAAGCTCTGCTTTCGTCCTGGGCTCTGCATTAGCCAGGTATGATATTTAGACGTGATTAAGCTTGATTAGTCTGAGCTAGATGTTCCAGATATGCAGATATGTCACTTCTTGCTGTACAGTGGTGTCTGTGATCACATCGAGCTTCTGTAGCTGTTTAAAATCAAAACGGGTGGTTTTTAAATACGTTTTTGACTTTTCTCTGCAAATTGTGCACAACATTATGTTTTGTTCTTGTTTACTATGTGACTGAGTTGTAATGCAATAACCCTGATTGTGATGACACTCCAACAGTGCTGCAGCTTATCAGATGAGATCGTATAATGTCACAGAACACTGGCTGCACAACATGTGGTACATCATGGTTTTGGGTTCTTTTTGGAAAAAACCAAATTTGAATTTTGAAAGCCAAGCAGCAACTTCCAGGCGTCGAAAAGTTCCAAATAATAGTCAAATAGTTGAATATGAGTCTTGAAAGTCTCAAATCTCTTCTGAGCAAAACACCTGAGTTGAAAGCAAACACGACTGTCAGCGTTGTCACACTTTGTGTGTCCTGCAGTAATCCAGCAGTTCAAGTTGAAGCCGTGGAGAATGGCGCTCTGCAGACACTGTTAACCACGCTGGCCACTGCTCAGCAACTCCGAGTCCAAAAAAAGGTAAGCACACCCACACAGCTTACAGTTCATGTTCAGAAAGTTGGAGACGACACGTTGCACAGAGAGCGTGACAAAAGAAGGCAACTCGACTTGTTTAGGTTTGTGAAGATGCTTCACCTCTCATCCAGGAAACTCTCAAGACTACCATGACTTGTAAGAATGAGAACCGCCACAGACACACACACACACACAGCTGAAGTGTATATGTGTGTGTGTTCGTTCTGTCTAGGTTCTGTTTGCAGTGGCTTCCCTCCTGCGTCACTTCCCCTATGCACAGCGTCACTTCCTGACACATGGGGGTCTGCAGGTCCTGTCAGAGCTGTTCAGGACTGACAACAGTGGAATTCTGCGTACACGCATCGTCACCATGTTATACGATATGATTACTGAGAAGGTACAGTAGCCGCACGCTCCTGCTCCTCGATTCCAAGCCCAGTGCAGTGCTCCTCTTCAAATACAAGGTGTAAATGATCTGAATGATTAAAGTTTGTATCAGTAGGTTGGGACTTTCCAGTGCCCAGCTCGTGGGATCATCCTCATGATCTCTTCTCTCCTCTTCCAGGAGCTGATCTTCCAGGGAGGTCTGGACCCAGTACTGGACGCGTCTCATGATGAGCGGCGGCGTCAGTACTCTAAGGTGTCTTTGCAGGAGGAGCTGTTGGAGAAGGGCTGGTGCATTCTGGTCCCACAGCTCCTGGAGTCTTCAGAGAATGACTACAGAGAGAAGGTGGGTGGTTTCATCTATTTTGCATTAATAGTATAACAACTGTTAAAAAGAACTTTCCCTGAGAGTCGGTGCTGTTTTTTGCAGGCTCTCCAGGCTTTGTTGGCAATGGCTCCAGTGTGTTTGGATCAGTACCGCTCAGACGGCTCTCTGCAGGCTTCTCTTCACTCTCTGAAGCAAGAGTACCAGGACATGATCCAGTCAGAAATAATTCTAGCAGAAGAGAACAGCTACTTTGAGGAGATTGTAGAACTCATAGATGCACTGCAAGTGAAAATGAAATGATCAGAGGACAGCACTTTGACGTTTCATATGAACATGGCGTACATCGAGGAGCTGGCACTTTTACTCTGTTGGGGTCAGACAGTCGATCGCAGAGCAGTGGACAAGGAACACAATTTTGAGGACATAACGAGTGAGCTGGAAGACAGAGCTGCGATTAGTCAGCATGAACACAACCAACAAATACTTCACGTGTTGCCTAAAAATGTTCTCCACACGTCTGAAGCTGTTCGTATGGCCTCTCTGAGAGGTCACATCGAGGGTGATATTACCATCAATAACGTTGCTTTTCTTCCAATCACTGTGGTGTGTGTGGGTAGGGTGGTGTGTGGGTAGGGTGGTGTGTGGGTAGGGTGGTGTAGTCCAGGTATGTGCTCCAGATGCTGTAGAGGATGTGCACATACTGACTGCACACACACCGCTAATCCCAACGAGCAGTGATCCCTGTTGCTGTATGGAGTCTCTTCTGGTTGCCGTCACAAGTGAATGTGTCACAGAAGGAATTGGTTCACAGTGACGGTGGCATGGTGATGGCCATGTAGTCCCGCTGCACGTTTGATAGGAAGCAAGAGCTGGGTCATGTGCTTTGCAGCAACGTCACTTTGCCAGGATGTAACTGGCTTCACTTCCTCTAACATTAGACATCAGGTTGGGTAAGTGCGCGTGTTATGGGTGTTAAGTCAGTTTCATGCAGAAGGCGGCGTCGGCAACGTCTGACTGATCACAAACGTGGATGCTTACTGGCAGCAGAGCGACGGATTTTATGAAGACCGTCAAGCAACGCAGCAACCACGGCTGAAGTATCTGAATGTGGAATAGAGTGCTGTACATACAGTATTAAACAACACTGTATGATTGCATGTTCAAGGTTAGCCCTTAAGTTGCTGTGCTTATCCCCAGATCCCCCTCTGTATGCCTCATGAAAACCAGACTTTGTGACCACATGGGGATGTAAAAACTGTTTGACACTTAATTTTAAAGTCATGCCGCTCTGTGTGCTGGACAGTGTGAATGATACTGTCACATGAACGAGTGTTGTTGGTGGCAGACAGACAGAAGGACATCGTCTGCTGTGCCAGGTGTAGCAGTCCACTTCCAGCTCCTCTAGGTCCCGACCTGAACCCACTGCACCACCCCTTCCCTGCGGCAGAGCCACAGACCACACCCCCACCACAATTACTGTTTATGTAACTTAGGCAACCTGACTTCACACCCAATGGAAACACGTTTTTCATCTGTTTTAAAATCAGAAAACAGGATTGTATTTGAAATGTTATTTTCTAAGACTAATATGTTCTACTCTATAGGTTACAGGAAATTTAAGCGTCTGGTAATACAAGTTGTTGCAACTAACAAGAATGTGCTGCAAGTTGCAGTAGAATTTGGATAGATTTAGCTCTTTTGGGGTGTGGTGGGTTTTGTAGTAATATTTTCACTCTGGACTGATAACTTCAACATATTCATGTGCTTATTTATTTTGAAGAAGATGGTGTTCTGTTGATATGTTCGAGAAAATAACTTATAGCTCCACAATAAAAATAAAAAGAGTGTTTCCAGACAAAAATGTTCACTAAACTTTCTTTTAGATTATTCTCTCTGCTGTATTTCAGTAAGTGTGCAGACACTGTAGATGTATTTGCAACCGTGCATGGGTACAAGATAGATTTTCAAGATTAATCTGGTAAAGAATGCAAATGGATCTCTTCCCTGTGTGATTCTGTGAATGGCACTTTGATCACTCAGTGTTGTCGCATAGATCAGTTGTGCTGCCACCATGAGGTGGGAAGAGAAATGACATTTTAGTAATTCTGTTTGTGGTCGCGGACCGTAAATAATACATCTTAATGTAAACGCGGAGGCCCATATAAAATCTGACTTAGGTCCATGATTTGGACACGCCCCCATATATACTACATATGTGTATGAAAAGGAAAACATTTATTTTGAAGGGGTCACTTTTAAAAAGTTTTTTTTAACACTGGAAATCCTCGCCTCTCTCAAACCCAGACTGCAGCCGATGTTTAAGAACTGTGTTTAGGAAAAGCAGCTGTTTGTTGTTGCCCACTCGCCCCTGAGCGACAGCCATGAGCTACAGTCAGTAAAATGATAATAAAGCACAATCGACAGGCACAGTTTGAAGCTCTTATTCTGAAAAGTCAAACCGGTAGTACGTTCGCTTTCAGGAAGTGCATGACATAACTAAACGCTGCCGTATGTAAACAGAGAAATACAGCCGCGTTTCAGTTGCTGATCTTTGTCATGAATGAAGCGGCTCACTGAGGGGACTCGTTAACCGGCAGAAGCCTCCCTGAGGTTCGGTGTGTTTGAACAAGCTGGTAAGAAGCTAACCGGCAGATGCTGTTGTGTTCGTGTTTTGTTAGGATTGTGCCAGCTAGGTGGATGCTAGCCTTAAACGACTCCACCTGAAATCTGGAGACTTCTTTGTTTCTTTGATTTGAATTGTGTATATTTTTCTGTATCTGGTTAAATTCTATAAAATAAAACACGCTGCACAAATATCTGATTAATACTGACTGCCAGTAGCAAACAGCTTGTGTCAGCGACTGTTATAAAGGTCACAGTTACTAACGTGGGTCATAGTGGGCTGTGAAAAATAACAGATGATTTGCTTAAAAATAGCAGTGGTGTACCTAAAATGCTAATAACAAGTTTTTCAACTTCAGCATTGCCAGCTGTCCAGTTTTAATATGAAAGATTTTAATTCAGAGTAAAGGTTTACCTTTGTGTAACTCGAGTCACTCTGTATAGTTAAAGGTCTGTTTTTGTGTGCAGATGAACAGTGATGGAGCTGTCTCAGAGGGAGCGTCTATCGGTGTTGGTGGAGGAACTGACCACATCAGGACAGCCACAGCTCAACCAAGACAAAATGAAGGAAGTCAAAAAGCTCTGCAAGTATGGCATCAGCATTTCCACAGTTAGTTGTAGGTGTAAAGTGGAATTATGAAACAAATGAAAGACTCCAAAATGTGCAATCCTTTGGAAAGGGGTCAGGATTGCAAGTATCTGACATCACAGTAAGGAAACCCTCAATCTATCAAGATCTGTTATCAAGCGCGCAGATTGTCTAGAGAATGTCAAAAGGGGCACACAGAATAACAACAACCCACATTCATCAACAAGCTAATTTAATATCACTTCATACTATATCATTGTCATCAAGTGGGGACAATGCAAAGCAAACATAGCCCATGTGTTACCTGATGGGTGCAGCGTTGCTGTTGAGGGGTTACTGTTGCTGCTGATAGTGCTGGAGGGCAGGGCTGTGATGATCTGAGACGTGAGAGATTAAAAAGTCCACAGGAGAGATTGTAGCTGATAGAACAAGTCTAATGAGATTACAATAAAATAAGAATTCAGCCGAAAAATCTATACACATAAAATACACACACACATGCACATACAGTGACATTTTACACTGTACATACTATGGCCACTTTCCAGAATCCTTCTCTTATTAATTATTCCAGGTGCTATAATAATAAAGTAATAAGAATAAAAAAATAAATATTAAATAATGTATTTATGATGATTCAATTTGCTTGACTCTCCGCTCTGTGCAGAAAGCTTTTAACTGTTTAAACTGTAGAGATAAAATCATTTTGCTGCTGTAAATTCAGCATTTTGTCTTATTTTCAATGTAAATCTAATATAATCTGTTTCTTAATGTATTTTCTTAGAAAGACAGTGTGTTTTAATCCATAATTATGTGGATATGCATATCAGTTCTTAGTGAAATATAAACCCCCAAGAAAGGCAGGGAACTTGCTTTAAAACTAAATATGTTCCCTAAAGCGTGGACAGACCTACAGACCCATGACACTCTTACTCAGTTAGCTAGCAGCTAATGACCAGCACAGTTGTGCAGTTAATAAAAGGACAGGTAATGTTTGTCGTGCTGTTGCACACACAGCGCGCTCATTTGTCTCATCAGTTACCTCAAGACAATTTACCAACGTGTAATAATAACTTAATACTCCTGTGTGTTATAATTCAATAGAAGATGTTACAGTGCCTGATAATCCACTGCTTCAAATGGAGAAAGTCTTGATGGCTGTTATGAGGACAGCGGAACGCATCGTTGTGTGCCTCAACTTCACGGCGTGTTTCGTCTTTTATCACAAGTTAATCTGCCATTTTTTACCTTCCTTGGTTTGGTTTAGGGATTGGAGATCTGATCTAGACTATAATATTTAAATCTTGGGACACATCGTCAGTAGTGGACCTTGGATTCATCGGGTTTTTCGGCCATTATCACCAGACACCCTCATCCAAGGAGGCTCTGCTAGGGTTGAACTAGTGTGTCACTGGTTTATGTTAACATTGTTATTTCTCTTCTACTTTCTTCTGTTTAGTTTTCTACCATTTATCCACCGCAGCACGGTGGCACAGCGGTTAGCACTGTTGCCTCAGGTCCCGAGTTCAGTGCCGCCATCAGGCTGGGGTCTGATGTTTGCATGTTCGCGTGGGTTCTCCCCGGGTGCTCCGGCTTCCTCCCACAGTTATGCAGTTAATGGGGATAGGTTAATTGGAAACACTAACTTGCCCATAGTGTGAATGCGCGAGTGAGTTTAAAACGAATGGTTGTCTTTGTATGTGCGTCAGCCCGGCTGCGACAGACCGGTGACCTGTGCACCCCGCCTCTTGCCCTAAGACAGCTGGGATAGGCTCCCACGACCCTGAAAAGGATAAGCGGAAGCGAATGGATGGATGGACGGACATCAATTCACTGTAACTGAGAAGTAAAATTTTAAAAAATTTTAAAGCTTTAAAATTTTGGAGCCTGACTTTTTCAAAGGTTGATAGAGACAAGTAAGACAAAAGAGACGAGAGGAGAGCCAGGAGGCGGGGCACCTGATCTGGCATCCCACACCTCCCTGCCGGATCGGGCTGTACGCTCTACCTACAGTGTATGCTGTACACCCTGCTTACTGGTTTCTGTTGCATCAGTCTTCGTCTCGCAACCAGCGCGCTCTGCCATCAAGGGCGAGCATTGGTCAATGGTAGTCACGTGACCGATGCAAGCCAGATCATTTTATTTAGCGAAATTGTGATTAATAATTAAATGTTATTGTTGAGAGGCACAGGGAACGCCACATGCGCGCGCACCGTTAAAAAAAATGTCTAAAGAAAAGGCCACCTGGGGCACCATCAGGAAAGGGGGAGGAGCTCAAGCCCCAACCCCTGCACGTGCCTGCCACAGAGGATCAGGATGAGAATCACCATTTCCCACGAACAGATAAAAAGTTACTGGACAGTCAAATAAAGGTTACACAAAGAACGAAAGAAAACAGCTGATCATTCAATACAATAAGAGCTTATCATCCAAAGCAATTTATGTAAGTGTACATGAACTTGTATTTGTCTACAAGAAAGGTTTTATGAAAACTGACAGTATTTAAGGTAAATTATGGTTACGTGTTAAATACAGTCGTGCAATTCTTTGTCAGCATTATGAGTACAACAAATGTCAAGTTCTTTCGTGATTCATAACATAAAATTTAGTTACTCTGCACCTGTTCTCCACTCCTCACAGAGTGTCTAATGACTGCATAGACCATGTGTACCACTCAGTGATGTCCCAGCTCAACCAAGAACATGCTGAGATCCGGCTGTCTGCCTTCCAGATCGCCGGTGAGCTCTTCTCCAGGTCACACCACTTCAGGATGCTGCTAGTGGACAACTTCCAGGTAAATCAGCTGCTAGTAACTAGTAATCATCTGAGATCATCCAGTGCACACCAAACATTACAGGACCTGCTTTCTACTGGCAGAATAAGGCCAATGATGGCTTTTTATAGCAGTCACCACACTGCTACAAAAGCCATCATATCAGTTTTGGCAATATCCCCAACTTCCTGGTTGTCTAGCGCCATTAGCATGCTAGCACTGCTAACTGTTGAGTCGAATGTTTGTTGTGAGTGGGTCCCAGTCTTACAGTTATTTAACACTAAAAACACAATAAAAAAGTAACGGAGCAAAGGCAAACTGAAAGTCTTTTTAGCTTTTCGGCTGATATCGGTTCACGTTTGCGCACTAAGTGATCTGTGTAGGATAAATCCACGTACAGTGAATCCCATTCAAAGAGGAACGATACAAACACTCAGCTTTAATATTAGGATGTCTTTCTTTCTGTGTCCCCCTCATCTATTCCTCCACCTCTCTTCTTCCCACAGGAGTTCTTGGAGCTGACGGTAGAGACTGATTCAGAGCAGCCCCTCCCTCCTCCTAAAGAAGTAGCCAGGAAACTGAGAGCTCTGGCAGTCCAGACTGTGCAGTCATGGCAAACGTCTTATGGCTCTGCTTATAAGAAGCTGGCACTGGGCTACAACTTCCTCAAACAAGTTAAAAAGGTGAGCGATGCTGAGATACAGAGTGACTTTTATTAACTGGAAACAACCCATGTGGTATAATGCAGAGGCCTCGGTTTGAATCCGCCGCAAGACCCTGTACATGAGGAAAACACACTCATGAAACACACTGAAATAACATCAGAATTACCTGTGAGAAGATCCACAGGCAGTATGATACAAACAACGAGGTAAAGGAAGCGTTCTGTGTTCTGCTTATCGGATTTAGATTTCAGAACTCTCAGTATCAGCCTTAAAAATCCTCTAGCAGTTGGACTTTATGAAAAATAGAAGTGCACTACAGATTCTGGAAACTGCATGATGCTGGTGATCTGTACAGACATGTTAAAGAGCCATATGTTTACCAGCTGCAACAGTGACATTGTTTGGACCTTGTGAGTGAGGAACCACCATAAAGGCAGTTGTTCATCTTTGTGTGCATGGGTAGATTTACTATTTGAGAAGATACTCTCTAGTTTTTGTGATCAACAATGTGTACATGCTTTCAGGTGGACTTCCAGGACATTGAGGCGAGAACAGTAGCAGAGAGGACGAGGGAGGAGGAAAGACGGAGGAGAATGGAGAGGATCTACAAGGAGAAAGTAGAAGCAGCAGCTAAAGAAATGGAGGGTAAAACGACATCGTGTTATCCCTGCTTCTAGTTTTAATACCAATGTTTTTATTTCCATTATCAGAAACTGTTAAACACCCAAAGTCTCAGTGGTTTTGTTTGTAACTGGATCTTTACACATGGTGTTATTAATGTTTGGGCATTAAGACTTTTATATTGTTTCTTATTCATTTGTTAGAGTTACAGCAAGAAATAGAAGCAACGCTGACAGAGATGGAATCGTGCATGAGGCTGCTTTTCCCAGATTTCAGCCCCATAGACATCCAAACAGCCAACAGCAGCCCCTCCAACTCCCAGCCAGCCACTAAGTGTCCTTCAGATGAGGAGCAGCCCTGCTGCAGCAAAGACCTGAGGGCTGATGGCAGAGTGGGAAAGGTGCAAGAAAGAGATGAGAATACAGGCATGACAGAGGAAAACAGAAAGAACTGGAAGGAGAAAAGAGAGAGGGAAAAAACAAAGAAAAGGTCTGAAGGTACAGAAGGCAAGGATGGGGAGAAGCAGGAAATGGACAAAAGTAAGGAAGCTGAAAGGAGGGAAGTCATGGAGGTGGAGCAAGAAGAAGAGAGCGAGCAGGAGGAAAGTAATACAGACAATGAAGAAGAGGCTGGTGATGAAGACTTTATCAGGAGCTCTGGCCTCATATCTCACTCCTACAGTCTGGATCTGAACCTCAGTCCTGGTGCGTAGAACACACACATGTGGAAGCTTGACGTTGAAACTCCAGTGAAGAAAACAATAAATCACAGCAAAACCTTCGAACACACCACAAACGTTACTCCCGAAACAGCCTCTGGACATTATTAAGCTAATACATTTATACAGCGTAGCTTATAAACTGGCAATTTAGAGTGTAGCATTCACACACTATCCAGTCTAACCACTTATGTGTAGGGCTGTGTGTCAGACCGCACTCAAAGTGATGAAACGGGTTAGTTGCTACATCCAGAGATGTGTTCGACGTTTTAGAGCAGCAGTCACAGTCTATGCCACATCATGTCTGTGTGTCAGCAGGATGTGCATGTGTGGGTAGCATGTCTGGCTTTGGATGATGAACATTTTACTTTTTATCTTCACTCAGAGCTGAACGCAGTGCTGAAAGTGCTCACGCTTTTATCTCAACAGGGCAAAAGTAAATGCAGGTAATAAATTCATTGAAGACTGAGGCCTTTGGTCTGTTCAGTGAAATGAAGACGAGGGTTTGGGAGCAGCAGAGACTTCCTGTCTGTGTAACGCGCTCGATGTGTTATGTGTGATTACAGTTCAGTCGTTAACATTCAGACATAACACAGTGCCTGTTTTATTAAAGCCTGTAAACATGTGACTGCACCACAGATAAGTTTGACTCTAATAGAACTCATGAAGGATGTTGCACTTGTGGCATTTCATATACAAATGTCTAAATAATATCACGGGGCTCTTCTGAGTAGAGCAGCAGCATCCAGGTAAATGGATCATGCTGTTTAATGAGAATCCTTCTCAAAACAGGCCTCTGATAGTCCTTCCTGTTAATGTGTTCGCACAGTCAGACGAGTGAGCGCGGTTTTTCTTCCAGGTCTTCACGTGAAGGAGACGGAGGATAACGAGCCGGTGGTTTCCACTGTGATAGACCTCCATAAAGTCATAACAACCAAACATCTGCCAGCTGTCCAGGGCTGGGTTCAGGTAATCACACACACACACACACACACACACACACACACACACACACACACACACACACACCCCCCTTGTGTGTTTGTTATGGTGTTACATTCTTTTAAGACTCGAGTGCCTCTCTGCTAGCGCTGCATTAAACATGAAAACAAGTTCTGAGCACTTGTTTCCATGTAAACAGAGGGTGAGATGTTATTTTAGACATGCTTTAGTACTTTGAGAACATTGCTTCTTTTGATGTGCGTATATTTGTATCTCCTGCGTGTATGTAAGAATATATAAGCAGCATATATAAGGTTGCGGACAGAGAGAACGTAGTCAGCGTTCTGAGAGTTTGGAGAAAGTCTGCCTCTGTCTCTGTGCGTTAACTGTGTTAAATACTGGTGTAAATACCTGCAGTGGCTCTGCTATCATACATCAATGTTCCTACATCAATGCTTAACCATGGTTTTGGAATCCATGATTATTTAGATTATTTCAAACCCGCTCCTGCTGGCTGACAGCGTGATTTCTATTGGTCACATTACTGAGGGCAGCCTGAGCAGCTGTCTGAGTATGGATGGATGTATGTATGGCCATCTTACCTATATTTCTGGTTTCCCTGTGTGTGTAGGTGTTCACCAAATCAGGTGCTGAGGAGCAGCTGTTGAGACGAGCACTTGACCTGAAGAGGTCTTTGGAAGCCACGCTGCAGAAACACGAAGAGCTTCACATCGACTACAAGGCCAGGGTCCGCAAAGTGGTGAGTTATAGCTAACGATACAGCTCGTAGTTAAGATTAGGCACGGGGCTCTCTTATTGTTAAATAATAAAAAAAGTTGTTTGCTTACATTTAACATGTGTGAGCAGATTTATTTGGTGCTCGTATAGAAGATAACCAGTAGATGGCAGCATTCTATTGTAAATCAAATGGGGGAGCCTTCCATTACATAGGTGACGTACAGGAGTGAGGACTCTGGTAGAGCAGCTGATACCTGGCTGCCTCTCTGCAGTGACCGACGGAGAAAAGCTTCATGTTTCTCTAAATTCTGTTGCGTTCTCCTGCGGCAGCAACCTGAGTGTGTTTATAGAGGGACACTGATGCCTCAACCAGAACCATTAAAATAAATTGCTTTTTAAAGGTTCTTTGTATTTGGAGAGAGAAGTTTAATGGAGTTCATAGAAGAATTTTCTGGAGTCAGCGCTGTCATCTCTGCTTCTCCGAGGACACTCAATATGTCATCAACTCCCTTTTAAAAAGTTTCACTTTTACATCCAGGAAGGTGCATTTGGACTAAATTGGGTCCTTGTGTTTGTTTGGTTTTGCTACAGCTGTATATGTAGTAAAGCTGACTGAAGCCTCACTCTGTGCTATGTCAGCAGTACGTGACAGAGGAATATGTTGTACGCAAAGGCTTTGAAGGTGATGTTTACTTTAGCCACTTCTTTGTTGTCTTGGCAATATGTTCTGGGTCATCCATCTATCACAGTTCTGACTGAGGGGAGGAGGTTCTCATCCATCATCATAATTTGTTTCTTTGGTTGAATCTATGAAGATGACACATTTCGATAGACACACAGCAGTGTTTCTTTACTTTAAAGAGGCTTTAACAAGGTAATCCCTGAAGTGCTATTGGTAGAAAACTTGGAGTTCTTGTCGTAGTCTGCAGAGTGTCCTGACTGTGGCAACCTGAAAACAGTATGTGAAAGGCATGTTTTAACAGAAACGTTCATCGAAGATCTGACCTGGGAGAGCCAGTAGCAACAGGCTTATGGAGCGATGAATCCAGACTCAAAATAAGGAGCAAGGTAGAAGACTGAGTGTCTGAAGTCATTGTAAAACATGCTGGAGGCTCTGTCATGGCTTCTGTCTGCATTTCTTTCAGTGGTGCTGCAGAATTTCCTTCGGGATTAATAAAGTATTCTGATTCTGATGTTGTCAAAACTATTTAAAGTACAACATACTGTCAGATTTGGATCCACCGTGCAACGCCATCTGGGAAGCGTTTGCGTTGGCTTCATGATCCCAAACACACTGCCGGTGCAGTAGAAGCATACTGGGATAGAAAAGCTCACTATCAGTCATGGATTGGCCTCCCCACAGCCTGGATCGCGTGGGATCCATCTTCATAGACAGCAGATCAAAAGTTGGCCAACGTCGGAAGAAGATCTGTGCTGGGTGCAAACTCCACCATCTGATCGGAGTTTGTTCTTCTCATGTCTTTAATAATAATAGATTGCATTTGTATAGCGCTTTTTGAGACCCTCAAAACGCTTTATGATTCATTCACTCTGGCAATTACAGTTCTGGTGGAGGCAGCTACAGTTGTAGCCACAGCTGCCCTGGCGCCATATCGCGCCACCGGCCCCTCTGGCCATCACCAGGAGGCAGTAGGTGAAGTGTCTTGCCCAAGGACACAACGACCGAGACTGTTCGAGCCAGGGCTCGAACCGGCAACCTTCCGATCACAAGACGAACTGCCGACTCTTGAGCCACGGTCGCCCACATCTTCATGTGTTCCTTCTGGGTACTCTGGCTTCCTCCCATAATCCAGAGACATGCAGTTAGTAAGGTTAGATTAAATAGTGATTCTAAACTGTCCACAGGTGTGAATGTGAGTGCGACCTGTGCAGGGTCTCCCTGCCCTTCCCCGTTCCTATGACAGACTCTAGCTCCATTATGACCCTGGATTGGAGAAGAAAACGGATCTAGCCCAGACTCGGTTCACTTCCTTTCCCTCAGACATTTTTATTGAATTTTATGCATCAATTTTACAAAAGACAAATTGAACAACATGCTGTTTTCTTTTTGTAGAACGTACAACAACATGAGACATACATTCCTGACTCTGTTCACTTTTAACAGCTGATGGCTGATATCAATGAAAGCTGTGCATTAGTCCCAGAAGGGCTCTAGCTTCCATCAACACAGCTTCACATGCTTCACCACGAGCCGTGATACTCTCTGACTCAGTCAGTCGGGAGTATTTTGGGAAATGTTAGTAAGTGGTGTCTTACGTAGTCTAGTCTCACATTGTACCTCCAGGGCTTGTAGCTAACGTGCAACTATCTCTAAAAGGTTAGCTAGTGACAGAGCAGGTAAGAGTGAAAACGTGCGCGCGCACATTGTGTGAAGGTGTGACTTTAATCGTGTACGTGTGGAGTTTATATGCACAGTTAACCACAGATTAGTGCGCACACTTTGAACGAGACCCATCGCTGCCCTTCTGTCATGTAGATGCTCTTCAGGGATTTATTGTAATCTTTTTGCACTGTGCAAGGGTCCCTTTGGGTCCAATCATATAAATGTGGTCAGTGCAGAGTGCTGGTGCTGTGGGGCTGCCACTAACTTCTCGCAGCTGCACATCTGCAACATTGCTAGCACGCAGCGTACTATGAGGACAAGCCTTGTTGTGTCTGCGTCCGTGTCACCAAGCGAGCGCATCATCATTGTTTTTTGTTTTGATGTGCAAGGCTATAAAATATCCTCCTCCTTTTTCTTCTTTGAACGTCTTTTCCTGCGTGGGCTTCCAAGTCTCATGAGAGATCGAGATAGCAAGGATGGAAATATTAATAGTAGAGACATTTGGGAGAGGTGAGATAGTAGTGAGGTACAGCCATAATGCATAATGCATTAGAGGAGAGAGGAGAAATTGGGGAGCAAGGGGGAGGATGTACCCATTCATTCACTTCACCACCGCTAATGTGCCCCGTGGCTTGATAGCTGATAGGTCTATCTCGCTGCCTCTGTATCTGACTTGGGATCGCCACTCTGCTGCTGTTTGAGCAGGAGGGGCAGGAGAAGCGGCCCCTCCGACCAGCGGAAATGTCATTTCACGAGAGCTCTGCTTCATATTATTTGAAGCGGTTTAATGATGAACAGTTGCTGTTTTCGAGATGCTTACAACATGCTTGAAGTGCAGATAATTTCTAAAAGGGGAAAAAGAGGCAAATCCTAGAGAATCACTGCAGGCTGCCATTATCAAAGGACCGACAAATGCAAAGTACATTACATGTTTGGGAAAAAAGGCATAAAATTTGTAGAGTCTGAATCCATCTTTAGCTGAAGAGAGTGGCACAGTGACAGTGACAGAGCGCCGGGCGTCTTACTCTGCCTGGTTATCACTGTCAGGGACCAGTCTGCTGCACCAGCAGGCCCAGCACTGTGATAACCACACAACTTACAGCCCCTTTATCATAATTAGCTTTTCCTTTTTAACCTTAAAAGGCCTTCCATTACTGGGTCCTTCTCTGTCGGGTGGCTGACACACCACGCGATTGGTTTCTCTCACAGCGGGCCTCTCAATATAGTCTCCCATAACGGGTGAACTGCAGAGAAGGAAGAGCCGCTTTATGGAGGCAGATCGAGCTGCTGGTTTAAATAATGAGAAAAGAGAATCTAGGAGGGTGGAGTCAATTCAAATTTTATTTGTCACATGCACAGTCATACACGGTACGATATGCTTAGACAACTGCTCGTGACCTAAAGAGAAAAAGACTATGAATAAGATAGGAAATAAATATGAAAATTAAAAAGGGTCAATTTAACTAGGAAGGAATCAAATAAAATATAAAAATTAAAGTTGAAAATAAAATGACTGTACAACAAGATACACAGTATAGAAATATATAAGAATGAATGAAGAAATATAAATATACAATAACAGCAGCTGTACAAGTATTAAATGGAAATGAAGAAATATAATGTCCAGTGTCCACATGTGTAAGTGTCTTGTGCAGTGCAAATATGCTTAAAGTGATTTAAGTGATGACCACGCATCCAATCGAATTAGTGTAAACAGTGTCGAGTGGGTGGGAAGTAAAAGTAAAGGGTGTGGGGGGGAACGGCCCTGTGAAGCTGTAGGCTTTCATGCCAATAATCCCACAGATGCAGTTGGGCGCACTCACGTTGCTCCACGTTGCTCTGCTGTTGCACCTCACACCGAGACTCCTGCTATTACTTAATTCGTTTGTAGCATCCAAGAGCTTCCTGTTAGCTTTGTTCAGAATGCTGCTACCTCTGCGAGCAATGTTATCACAATAGATTTGTGCGTCCAGACAATCTTTTTCTATAGATTTCCACGGTGACGGCGGACTCTGCAACTATTATATAATATAATGTAACTACGCTGGTGATGCAGCGCTGCAGGATTTGTTGGTGTCTGGGGCTGAACAATGAAAACTGCAGTTCCTTGAATGGCCACTTTAGGCTGAATAAATAACATCAGGATAGTGAGTCAAATGGAAACGCGTGCGTCTCTAAATATATGCATATTCTTTCTTTTTGAATGATCATTTCGACCTTTTTTAAATTTGTCCTTTATCCATTGATGGAATTTTTCTTTGTTGTGTCAGTTGCATGTGCTTCCTGTCTGCTGATGAAGGCTGTGACATGAAAAAGACAAAGAAAATCCCATTTATTTGATGCTGTGATCAACAGCAGACGACACTCTTTGGTTTAATATTGTTACATTGCAGGTTTGAGGCTGGTGCTGTTCAGCTAGTAAAAGCTTTTTTGTGTTCCGTGTGGAGGGACTTTAAGCATTTTAGCGCCGTCTCCTGCAGCGTCTTCCACAGGACCCTGCATACTTTTTAGAACAGCGGCTGCTTGAAATGCATTTTCAGTAAGAGCTATGAGATGTGAATCCTATATGCATCTGTCGAACCCCGCAAACTGAAAACGTGGGCTAATGTTTAGGAAAGGATAAGACACGCGGACTTATTTAAACATATCTGTTTTTAAGACTATATTCAGTCATTCCG